GTTACTTCAGGACATTCAAGACTCAATATTCATAGGTGGAATATGTTGTTAAGGAGTGCTGGCCGGCGCCGCGGCTCAACAGGCTAATCCTCTGCCTAGTGGCGCTGGCACACCGGGTTCCAGTCCAGGTCGGAGCGCCGGATTCTGTCCCAGTTGCCCCTCTTCCAGGCCAGCTCTCTGCTGTGGCCAGGGAGTGCAGTGGAGGATGGCCCAAGGTCTTGGGCCCTGCACCCCATGGGAGACCAGGAGAAGTACCTGGCTCCTGCCATCGGATCAGCGCTGTGCACCGGCTGCAGTGTGCTGGCCGCAGCGGCCATTGGAGGGTGAACCAACGGCAAAGGAAGACCTTTCTCTCTGTCTCTCTCTCTCTCTCACTGTCCACTCTGCCTGTCCAAAAAAAAAAAAAAAAAAAAATGGAGTGGTAGGTCAACATTCTGGGGAGTTGGGTTACACCTGGGAGGAATACATTCTTATTTTGTGATTCTGAAACTTGGAATCAGAACTGCCAGCACACAATTAGATCACTACTCCTACCCCACTTTTGACTCCTTGTTGTTTGCTTTTCCGGTAGTCTGCATGAAAAAATGGTCTTGAAAGTGAGAGTAAGGAAACTTATTTTTATATGTGCAATCATTGGCTAATACATGCTATTAAAGGCTGAGAGTGGGTTTGGAATTTAAAGACAATGAATATTTATCTTTCAATCAAGTTGAAATTAGCGGGGCTACCATATGTTTAGAAGATATATATATATATTGTCTTTGGGACTTGAGGTTACTAAATTATTAACAGCCATCACAAGAGAATAGACAAATGTATTTGGAGTTCAGCTCTTTGTGGTGGGACATTTGTGGGTTTTCTGGTTTAGACCATCTACTAAGAAGAATAACACGAGTATGTTAGCTGATTGTACAGGGTGAATAATTTTGACATAGTGATATAAGTGAGAGCGAACAAATTTCCAGATATCCGAGAGAATATTCTAGGGACTGGCGCTGTGGCATAGCAGATAAAGCCACTGCCTGCAGTGCCAGCATCCCATATGGGTGCTTGTTCAAGTCCCTGCTGCTCCACTTCCGGTCCTGCTCTCTGCTGTGGCCATGGGAAGGCAGTGGAAGATGGCCCAAGTCTTTGGGCCCCTGTGCCCACGTGGGAGACCCGGAAGAGGCTCCTGGCTCCTGGCTTTGGATCGGCGCAGCTCTGGCTGTTGCGGCCATCTGGGGAGTGAGCCAGCGGATGGAGGACCTCTTGCCCTCTGTTTCTCCTTCTCCCTCTGTGTAACTGCCTTTCAAATAAATAAATAAATCTTTAAAAAAAAAAAAAAAGAGAGCACAAATATTCTAGAACTCTTAATATCCCTTGATGGAATCATGACATGACCTTTTCCTTGGATCCATTGGACCACCAATAACTCCTAAGTTGAATGGAGTCAGTTCTTTTTCAGTCTTGATTTTCAACTCAAGTTCCTAATATTTGAGTGCTTGTTCTCTGTGAGCTCCCAGGTTTTGCTGTATACCATAGAAGGTTTTAAGGTGACTCACTGGGACTGAGAAGAAAAATACTGAATTTTTTATGTACATATCCCAGAATGAGACCCATTGCCTTTGTTCTTTTTGAAGAAATGAGCTTTTAAAACAGCTATGTACTTCTCTGTAATGAGATTCTTCTTTTCCCTAATAATTGTAAAGCACATATTTTTCAGTATCTGCTCCTGTAATAGTCGCCTGGAAGCTACTTGCTTAATTAGCAGTCATGGACCCAACTGACCATTGATGTACCAAAAGTAATGAATCCTGAATTATGTATGCAAATCTCTTGGAATTATATGCTGGCAGTGGAGTAGATCAGGCGTGAATAAGAATAGATGAAGCTGATAGAAAGTGTATAATACAGGTTTTTATTAAATAAAACTATAAAAATGACATACTGGATAAAACAGAAAAGATTGAACAAAAGAATTAGAGTAGGTAATCTCTTCCATGTAAGTTTCTTTATAAATTTAATAAATAAGCTGCTTATTAAAAAAATAAGTGAGAGTGAAGATAAATTTAAAGGACTGTATTATCAGTAGAAAAGAATAAAGACAATGGAAGAGGGAAAACAATATTGCCAATTACCAAGAGGTCATGGATCCTCACCTAGGCATCACTGACATGGGGGGCCAGATTATCTTTGTTGTGGAGTCTGTCTTGTGCATTATAGGATGTTTAGCATCACCTCTGGTTTCAACCCCCCAGCTGCCAGTAGAAAGCTTTTCCCAGTTGTGAAAATTTTTTTAAAAAAGTTCCTACACATTTCCAGATGTCCTCTTGGGGACAGCATGCCCCTGGTTGAGAACCACTGTCCTAGACTACGTGGAAGGATAGCCCCAGAAGTCACAGTCCAGTTACCTGCTCAAGATAGCGTGGGAGGAAGGGTAGGTCAGTGGAGAGCTGTAGTTGTTGGATGTGTTATTGAGAAGCATTTTCATTTGAGAAGTGTTGAAATTAAGGCATAACTCCTGCATTGATTAAAAGTAGTTCCTTTTTTCTCTTTTTCAATCTAGAGTCAAACGAGTACAATGGGAATACTAATAACGCAGGTGGTGAGACTGTCTTTTATTTTTCCTCCCTCCCAAAGGCCTTACAGAAATACGCAGGCCTGTCAAGTGTTATCCCCCCAAATTAACTCTGTAGTAAGAAGCCAAGGAGCAACTCTTTGGGGTATGTTTCACTTGGTTCAATTTCACTACCTAGTAGAGGCAACTTGCAGAAGTACATGATCTTGGGTGTCTGTCTTTATATATTGTAGACTAAATGGCACTTAGGGCAGAGTCCACTGATATTCACCAAATATCCTTATGATCTGATGTATTTCCCAGCCTCCTTTGCAGTTAGGTTGGCTTCAGGTAGCTAGTTCTGTCCAGTGAAATGTGCCCTGAACCTAACTTCTGGGATGAGGAAATTAAAAGCCAGAGGGAATCTCTTCTCCCTGTAACAGTGACACTGGGGGCTCTGCCAATACACACCTCTATGAACCAAAGAAATAGTTGGCCTTTTATTTCATATTCTCTGTTCTTTATTCCCTTTCTGGGACATTTGTTACTTGGATGTTAGACTTTCTGAACTGATCTGCTGTATTATTTCCAACTGTCATCATTTCGTCTATTTTTCTTTTTACAGCTCAGTTGGAATTTGACCACGTGGAATCGAAGGTTCAGCTCAAATGAAAGTGTATAGCTGTCTACCTGTTGCTTTCTTCATGTCAGCGACATTATGGTGACAAAGCTACATGCATATGAGCTGAATAGTTGTTTGGGATAATATCACACAAGCCCTCGCATACTCTGCATTGGAGCAAAGTCACAATATTTGGGATCATCTGGACAGTGAATAAAGAATGTAGTGACAAAGCTTCACACTATAAGGAGGCAGCATACAGAACATGGCCATCGAGAGCACAGCCATTGAGAGTGTGGGCTGTGTTGCCAACTGTCCAGATATAAATCTCGGCTTTGGAACTTGCTAGATAAGGGGTCTTTGAAGAGTTACATAAACTCTCTGACCCAGACTTTTTGATCTGCAGAATGGATTTAATATCTTTTGGTTGTAAATTATGTAATACATGCTAAGATTTTAGAAGAGTACTTTTAATAATTCGTTCTCTCTTTGTTTCTCTTTCCTTCCTTTGTGGTCTTTTCTTATTTATTGTATGAGAGAGAGAGTGAGAGAGAAAGAGGGAGAGAGGGAGAGACAGGGAGAGAGGGAGAGAGGGAGGGAGAGAGAGGGAGAGAGAGGGAGAGAGAGAATATGAGAATGAGAATATGAATGAAAACAAGCCATCCTATCCACTGCTTCACTCCTCAAATACTTGCAATGACTAGGACTGGATCTGGTGAAAGCCAGGAGCCTGGAACTTAACCTGGGTCTCCCACGTGGCTGATAGGGACCCAAATACTTGAGCCATCATCTGCTATCTCTGAGATTCTACATTAGCAAGAAGCTAATGTAGGACTCAAACCCAGGCATTCTGATGTGGGATGCAGCTGTCCCAAGTGGTGTTGTAAATGCTAGACAAAACAACCACCCCTTAAAGTGCTTCTTTTGTTGTAAATGTTATGTAGATGTTTGCTGTTACATTAATTGAACTGTAAGTCAAAGGAATTAGACGGAGCCCAGGAGCTGGAGAATTTTTTTGATCTTTTCTAGAGAGCCTATCCTATTTCTCATTGTGTATTTCCACAGTTAGTATGAATAAGTTAAGTGTTTCATGATTGTAGTTGCTTCGTTGTTTCTGCTCAACACAGAACTGCTGCTAACACAAACAGTCCTCATCAGTGAAGCACAAGTGCTCTTTCTTCTGGTTGTTGACAGCTGCCTGTCACTGTGCCTGATTGGTCAAGCAGAGCATGGGCTGGACTTCATTCCCCCTGGTGCCTGCAGGGCGAGTCATGTAGTAATCAGTTTGCCAGATGGTACAGTGCCCTCCAACACCCAATCCTTATTCCCACAAGAAAACCTGGCCTGAGGGACTCCCTCACACTCCAGGATGGATTCTGTCATTTGTATTGGATGTCTAGTCATCTCACAATTTCCTTGACTTCCTTTACCGCCCTGAAAGAGAGTGGTGCACTGGACCCGTCACTTGGCAACCTGAGGCAGAGAGGCAGCAGATGTGTTGTTGAGTCCTTAGCCACGTGGCTGTTTTCATTGAGATGGGACAAGGTCACGTTAGTATAGCGAAAGGAAAAGAGGACAGAAGAACCCAGAGCTGAGTCCCGGGGACCTGAGACTGGTACATCACAGGAAAGTACGGGAGTGGGTGAAGGGGAGTGAGCAGAAGAGGAACACAGAGGGGGCGTTGTTGCAGAAGGAAGCGAGAGAAGATGTAAAACCAAATCTGCGCTTTGTGAATAGCTCTGGGGGCTGCCCCGGGCTGTGCCGGTCACTGTGCTAAGTCATGGGCAGCTGAAGCTGTGCTCGCATTGCCATCTCCTCGCTGACCAACCCCGTGTCCCACAGGTGAAAGCCTCGGACGCAGACGCCGGGCTCTATGGCTTTGTGGAGTACGCGCTCTATGCTGGATTCCAAAGCCAGGAAGCACCTCATGCCTTCTCGATTGACCCGCAGGATGGGCGCATCTGTGTTTCTCAAGACGTGGACAGGGAGAGGGATCCAGCCACCTACGATCTCCTGGTGAGAGCTAAGGATGGGGTAAGTCTTGATGTGTGAAATTTGGAACACCCTCCAAAGCAAACCACTGTGAACGCGTGGCAGCGTACCCGCGATCATCGACAATTGGCTAATCTTGTTTCATAGATCACCACCTCTTTCTTTCTTGGAGTGATTTGAATCAAACGCCTGGCATTATGTATATATACTGTTCATAAATAATCCAATAATATCTTTAACAGATAATGACTTTTATAAGCCATGACTGTAATATGTTTATAGTGATTTTTTAATCACATGTCATAGTCATTCTGTGTTAAAGTTTCTCAATTATGTAAGTATGTCTTTATGGCAGTTGGTTTGCTTGAATCAAGATCCAAATAAAGGGGCCAGCGCTGTGGCATAGCAGGTAAAGCCACCACCTGCGCTGCGGGAATCCCATATGGACACCAGTCCCTGTCCTGGCTGCTCCACTTCTGATTCAGCTCCCTGCTAATGGCCTGGGAAAGCAGTGGAGGACAGCCCAAGTGCTTGGGCCCTGCACCCGCATGGGAGATGCAGAAAAGCTCCTGGCTCCTGCCTGGTCCAGTGCTGGCTGTTGCACCTGTCTGGGAGGGTAAGCCAGTGGATGCAAGATCTGTCTCTCTGTCTCTCACTCACTCTCAGCTCTGTCGCTCCCCTTCTTCATGGAGGAACGACACAGGACCCTGCACTGTTCTTTCGTCTGCTCGGCCCTCCCCAGGTTTGCTGCTGGTTCTTCCCGGGTTGGCTACTGTCCCTTCCACCTCCGTGGAAGGGCAGTTCCCCCTGGCCACATTCCCCACTTCCGCAGGGGAGCGGCACACCGCCGGCCGGCTCTCTCGGGGGCTGCACAGGTGTTCCCCTTAGATGTTCCTGGTGCATGCCGTCTCTCTCCTCCTTTATAGTCCTCTTCCACCAATCCCAACTCTGCTACCCACAGGCCGAGTACGCTGCTCTCCTCCAATCAGGAGCAAGTCCTACAGTTTATTGGTTGTACTGGAGGCAGCTGTGTAGAAGCTGTTTCCTCCTCTCCCAGTGCCATATTGTGGGAGAGCAGATGCATAGAATAAGTCTTAATTCCAGTAACTTAGTCTAGTCCGAGTTGCTCCCAGTTGCTCCCCACAAGCTCAGACTTTCAAAATAAATAAAGTAAGTAAATAAAAACTTTTAAAAATCCAAATCTACAAATCGATTTGATTGATTACATAGGATTCAAGTCAAAGATCATAAAGTAACTAAAGAAGGACATATTATTATGTAGAGGGTTTAATTCATTGAAGATATTTATAACTATCTGTATATGAAACAATATGACATCCACACAGTTTTTACTATTCTATATATATTAACTTCTGCCTATGAGAGGAAACACAGGGCATTTGTCTTCCTGTGTCTGACTTATTTCACTTGGCATCATGATCATTGTAGAACATGTCAGGATTCCATTCTTTTTTATTGCTGAGTAATATTCCATTGTGTATATATGTCTATATACATTTGCATAAATTCCTTGATTTGTGTATAATGTTTCAAATACATGGCTGACCTTAGTCTTTGTTTTCTTCATTGTTTCTCTGTTTCTTCCTCCCTCTCTCCTTCCTTCATCTTTCCTTCCTTCCTGTTTGAGAGGCAGAGACGCACAGAGTCCCCATTAGTTCACTCCCCAGTACCCACAGTGGTCAGAGCTAGCTAGTCCAAAAGTGGGAGCTGGAGATTCAGTCCAGTTCTCCCACATGCGTGGAAGGAACTGGTCACTTGAGCCATCCCTGCTATCTTTCAGGGACCGCAAATCGGGAACAGAGGCAGGACTCGAACCCAGGCCTTCCAGTGTAGGACGTTGGAATTTTATCAGATATCTTAACCACTAGACCAAATGCCTGCCGCTGACTTTATCCTTCCTGATGATCCCGTTTATCTGTCTTTGATCAGTGACGGTAACTTAAGTTTGCCTCCTGTGTCTTTTGTTTCTCTGTTCGTAAACTTTTAAATTGACATATAGGGGCAGGCATTTGGCTCAGCAATTAAATTGCTGCTTGAGATGCCTGCCTCCCATTGCACCATGCCTGGCTTGAGTCCTGGGTCCTGTGTTCCGATCCAGCTTCCTGCTCATGTGTATTCTGGGAGGGAGCAGGTGTTGGCTCAAGTTCCTGGGTCCTTGCTAAGCACATAGGAGATCCAGATTGAGTTATGTGTTCTTGGCTTCAGCCTGCCCAGCAAAAATAAATAGATACGATTTTATTGATTCAATAGTTGATGATACCTATTTTAGGCTATTACAAGTAGTGTATCTTTTAACATTCTTATCATTGTGATTTGGGGAACAATGTAAGTATTTCTGTTGGATACATATGAAAGGCAGATGACTTTGCAAAGTGGTTATACCAATTTGTATTCACATCAGTAGAGTAAGAAAATTGAATTTTTTCCATGTCTTCCCCCAAAATTGATACTCAATGTCTTTTTAATTATGGCAATTCTACTACTTGTACATTACATCAAGGTTTTACTTTGAATTTCCTTGAGGACCAATGAATTGAACATGTTTTCATATATTTATTGGCTGTATAACTTTTTTTGTGAAATATCTGTTTAATTCTTTACCTGTTTTCCATTGTATTGGTGGATTTTCTTTTTGCTTATTGATTTGTATGGTTTCTTCATATTTTTGGCTTTCAAGCTCTAGTGGGATATATTTATTCTTTATATTTTCACCCTTTCTGTTTGCTTTTCTTGTCCTTAATAGTATCTTTTGAGGAACAGAAGTTCTTAATTCTAATGGAGCTCAGTTTACCAATTTGTTTCCCTTTGTAAGTCGGGGTTTTGTGTCCTTTTAGTAGCATTTACTTACTTTGTGGACATGAAGGCATTCGCTTATGTTTTCTTCCAAAATCTTGTTGTGTTTTTTCACCTTTTTTTAGTCTAATAGGAGAAACATTTGTATTTTCCCCCAAAATGGATATTCAGTCAGCCCTGCAGCTTTTTTTGCAATGCCTGTTCTTTCCTCACTGCCCTGTAGTGTCCCTGCTGTCATGAGTGCCCTGCCTGTGGACCTGCTTGTTAACTGCTGGACGTCCTTGTTTCTGCTCATTTTTCTGCCTTGGTGCTAGCCACACTCTCTTCATTACCTTACCTTCATAGTAGGTCTCACGATTTTGTATGCCTTTAGTTTTGCCCTGATTCAGACTTGTCCTATATCTGGTCATTGACATTTCCAAATACATTTGACAAACTTCTCATTCAAATTCCACTGCATTACAACAATGGTAGCCTACTGTATATGCCGTTCTGAGCTTTGATTTCTCCACTTAGTTCAGATTTTTACTTATTATTTTTGCTTAGTGTATTTTGGAGACTGTCCATGTTTCTTGTCTAGCTGCTTATCGCTCCAGACACTGCTTACACCTCTCTGGTCTAATCTTCCTCCTTTGAAATTAATGGGACATTTGGTCTACCTTAAGATATGAATTGTTGAGAAAAAAAAAAAAACTTGAGTCTGTATTTATCAGCACTAACATGAAAACAAAGTAATTTAGACTCAGTGAAATAGCTGTGTGATGGTTAGTTTTTTGTCAACATGTGTTTTGTCAACATGTGTTTTCAGGAATCCCTGATTCTTTGTAAGAAAGTACGTAGGAAGCAAATCAGGACTAAACAGAGGAATTTAGATTAATTCAAGCCTGTGTGATTATTTAAAGCTCAATACATGAGGGCACTTCAAAAACCCTGTTACTTGAAAGGTAACTTGATTTTGGTACAAAACTTTTTTGAAATTCACTAATAGTTCTATAATACATATTTTGCGTGAACTTTTGGGAGGCTGTTCGTGAGCACACACAAATGTTAATCAAGGGCCTTGGAAATACATTTATAGATTTTAAGATGATTGTAAAAGACCATTCTAGAATTTAATACCTCATTTAAATCCAATATAACATTAATCAAGCATCTATTTCTAATAAGTCTCAGATGATGATATTGATGTTAAAATTATCTTTATACAAAAAAGATCATTTACTTTCAGAAGTGTATTACACCCTAAATGCAGTAACTTAATTAGGAATATTGGCAGTGAAATTTTTTAAAAAATTGTATTTTGTATATTTATTATCATTTTGTTGAAAGTCAGAGAGAGAATATGAGGCAGACAGAGATTTTCCGTTTGCTGGTTCACTTCCCAAATGCCTGCACAGGCAGGACTGGGTCTGGCTGAAGCCAGGAGCCCAGAACTCAGTCTGGGCCTCCCTTTGACTAGCAAGGAGCCAAGTACTTGAGCCACCACCTCCCATCTCCAAGGTTGCACATGAATAGGAAGCTGGGTCAGAAGCGCAGTAGCTGGGACTTGAACCATGCCCTCCAATAAGAGATGAGAACGTCCCAAGCAGCAACTTAAGGCCCTGCCATATACCTGTCCCTTGTGTCCATGTATTTAACTTAAAACCCTTTGCTTCTGTTTCATGTTGAACCTACTCTAAGGACATACTCCACGAAGGATGCTTTCTTTGCGGCTCAGCATTCTGTCAATGGCATCATTAAGTCCATTTTTAACCATAACATTCCTCCATAAATCTTTCCCTAGTCTTCACTTCCAGTGTTTTAGACTTTCTACCTCTTCCAAGTCTGTCTTCTTCTTGAGTTTGTGAATCCATTTCCATCGAGGTCTTCCAGGCTCCTGTCTTTGAAGATAGTAGAAGTCATTGAGAGTAGACTGGCAGCCACAAGCTTCCAGCATGCCCCCATCAACATAGAACAGCCCATGTTGCAGGGCCAGCATGGTGCTGGAGTCAGGACCAACTTCTCACAGTGGACTGCTGACTTGCTCAGAGCAGCCTTCAGCTCTCCCACTGGCCTGGGGCAGAGGGCACCTGCTCAGTGGTGACCACAGTCCATCTTCTGGGACCACGACTTTGGTCACTCAAGAGCTTTGGGTGCTGGCTTTCCACATTCATGCTTGTTACCTGTCGTCACCTTTGGGCCCCACTTTTTGCTTTGCCTGCATTTTCTCCTCTCTGACCTAGATGCAT